GTAAAGGTGGTTTACTGGCAGACACCGTGGTGCTGGCTTGGGTTTAAATCAGGAAATACCAACATGTAATAACAAATTCTTTACACTCATAAAGTTGTCATTGAAACTTGATATAAGGGCTGGCTGTGTATGGTGGGTTGACAAGGCTTTGAGGCTGTAGTTGTACATTTTGGTTAGTTATAGATCATGTTCATATTTTTACTCCAGCTGGAGAATAATCAGCAACCTGTTCTTGACATATGAAACCATTTTTCAAATCAACTGGATGCTTCTTTCTTAGTTCTGTGAAAGTTGATACTCTGGGCAAACACTGTTTTGAGCAACAACAGTCTTCGACTAGAGGAATTCGTAGGCAGTATAAACCATACGGGTGTATAATAATGTTGAATAGACTATCAATTTTTTCTTTGCCATTTGTTTAATGTGGATGTGTCTTATTCTGAAAGTGTTGCACTCATACAAAAAATAAAGGGAGAACAGGGTGTGTCAAAATTGTGATTAAAAATAAGGAGCCACCTCTGTGTGTTTTGTTGTGGACCACCACAGTTTGGATTCCTCATTTGGACCATTTGGAAGAATACTTTTGATTTTTGCAATCCAATAGCTAGACTTATTTAGTGAGACTAAACAGTGAGACTCAAATGAAACAGGAAATGTTTAATTGTTTTTACACAGTATTAACTGTTTTCCATGCGCACTATGAATACAATATACTGTATATACTGTACTGACTGACTATTTGACCCCAGAGGTGAGGTGCAGTAATCACAGCGCTAATTTGTTTTGAACAGTGGTACAAATGTTACTTTTCCAAAAAATCAAATCAGTGTAAACAAAATGTTGCTGTGATTGAATGTGGAAGCTTGAACCACAAACAGGACATGTGTGCATGTGCTGTTTTGTCAGTCTATTGCCAATGTAGGACAGAAATCAGTCACCACTTTCAGGAAATAAGTATATTATTAATGAGGATCAATACCCACCACTGCATAAAAAGAAGATGCATGATCATCTGTGATATAAAAGCTCTCTCTTCTTTTTTTGCAGATGACATGTTGAAATGTCAGAATAGGAAAAGCACAGTTAAAAGTTAACAATGTCTGAATTCCACTTAGCTGCTTCGGTTTCCTGGTCCTGGTGTTGTTCATGCTGCATAACTGTCACTCTGTCATGACAGACTGTCACTTGAACAGAGCTATTGTTAATGTTATTAGTAAAATTAATGCTTTTCCTGGTATCATAATTCTTAATGCCCCTGAGAAAAAATGGCGCCCACCAGGGGTGCCCGGGGGGGACATTGCCCCCATCATAAGATTACTAACCATCTCTCTGGCATCCCCACAGATGACCACTTTTTTAGTTTCACTACTTAATTTTTCAGTGTTCATTTTTTCAGTTTTATTTCTAACAGAAACCTTTCGGGTGGGCGGGTGTTACAGGGCTGCCTCCTCACTGATCAGCAGCTTTTCTACTGACAGCCAGTGGCCAGGAAGTGGTGTCACTCTATTTACCTGCCATCTGCTGATTGGATCTATAATGCATCAATGCATTGAATGCAGTTACTAGAAGATGAGTGGCAAAAAAACAGTAATTGCCCTTTGACTCACATTAAAACCACTTTATGTGACTGAAATTATACGGATTGACAACGTGTGCACAGAGTGAATATGGTAAGTATCTAAGATGTTTTCTGTGGCACCCACATTAGCCAGTTAGCTTCCACAGTAATGTTAGCTGTCTAACTGGTTTACTCATGCTTAGACTTAAAAACTGCCTGGAAAATAACCAACCGTGTTGTGCCACATTTGACACGTCTGTGTCTTCTGGTTCGCTACAACAGGTAAGGAGCTCACACGACTGTATTATAACTTATGTCACATTAGTAACATCCTTGCCAACTTTAGCTTCTAGCTATAGCCATACTGGGTTACTGTCAATGACTTACAGTATGTCATAACCACTGCCTGGAGAGGTCCACTGAAAAATACTACTAGTATTCTAAAGTACTGTACAGTAAGGCAGCATAATACGTAATACTTAAAGTGCCCATGGCATGCTCATTTTGCTCATTTCAAACATCACTCAAGTAGCTCCAAGGGCGGTAAATCCAACTGGTGGTCACTGCATCTTCCTCCACATGACCACATACAGTCCCAAAGTAGTGAGATTAATTCCAGCAGGTAGCATAGCATTGACAATAACATCATGGGTTGTTAATCCACTTGTTAACGAACAACACATCACATGCAACTGACACACTGGCCTCAAGCAGTCAAAACAAACAGGTACTGTGCTCCGGGGGAATCCAGCATTGATGAGGTAATCATTCACCACCATAGGGGCTTCACTGCTTGTCGGTTAGATCCAGTCAGGTAAAATAGCGAGTCCCTGTAAGGAACATTCCCAGACATGCAGTAACCTCAGGCCTTGTATTTTTCTCTACATCCTCTGGTCACAGTATAACAGCAGGAGATAAAAAATATCCACAAAACTGACTGCAGACAAAAGATTCCGCTTTTACAATGGCACCGGTCGATGTCCTTTTTTTTCTGGATTTTACAGGCAGCCAGTGGAAAGAAGCTAATATGGGAGAAATATGATCTCTCTTGCTACTTCCTCTTAGTTCTCTGGTTGCAGCATTTTGGATTAACTGGAGGCTTTTTAGGGAATTATTGGGACATCCTGATACCAAAGAGTAGATAGCAAAGAGCTATTGTCCAGGTTGGAAGTAACAAATGCATGGACCAGCATCACTTTGAGAGAGAATGTTCCTGATTTTGGCAATACTGTGCAGGTGAAAGAAGGCAGTTCTAGAGACTTGGTGTATGTGTGATTTAAAGGACATATCCTGGTCACAGCAGTACTAGAGGTCAGAGCTATGTCATCTAGAGTAACTATATGGTTAGATAGCAGATTTCTAAGGTTTTCAGGCCCAATTATAATAACTTCAGTTTAGAAGTAAGAAATTACAGATCATCCAGGACTTGATGTCTTTAAGACATGCTTGAAGTTTGACCAACTGATCTGATTCATCTGGGTTCATAGATAAATATACCTGAGTATCATCTGCATAGCAATGGAACTTTATGCTGTGTTTCCTGATAATATTGCCTAAAGGGAGCATGTATAAAGTGAAGAGAATTGGACCTAACACAGAGCCCTGTGGAACACCATGACTATTTTTAGTCTGCATGGAAAATTCATCATTAACATGAACAAATTGGAAACTTTCTGATAGGTATGCAGGAGGTTTGAAGCAACCTCATGCACTTCCTTTAATCCCAATAACATGTTCAAGTCTGTAGTAAAATGCTGTGATCACTCGTGTCAAAAGCAGCACTGAGATCTAAGAGGACAAGTATGGAGACAAGTCCTGAGGCTGGGAGGAGATTGTTGGTGGTGGTCATCCACTACAATTATTTTATTTGTACTAAGCATTACATCAGACAAGAAAGTCTGAGATTTCAGTTAGAAACTGAATAAGGGGCAGATGGATGGTATACAGTAACAAATAAAACTGGTTTTTGAGTTTTCCAGTTTGGGTGTGAGAGACTCAGAGTGAGGCTTTCAAATGAATTATAACCATGTTTAGGTCTAGGGTTGATTAATAGGTTTGAGTCAAAGATTGCTGCCACACCTCCACCCCAGCCTGTGCTTGGAGGGATGTGGCAGTTACTGTGACTAGGTGGGGTGGATTCATTTAGACTGACATATTCTTCCTGCTGTAACCACGTTTCAGTAAGACACAATAAGTCAATGTGATGTTCACTTATCAAATAATTCACTAACAAAGATTTAGATGAGCGAGATCTGATATTTCATAGTCCACATTTGATTGTCTTATTACTTTCTACTATAAGAGGAGTCATCTTAATTTTAATTAGGTTCTTATGAGTAACTCTTCTTGAGTTGATTTTTGATTTATATAATTTAGGTGGTCGGGGGCAAACACAGTTTCTATGTGGTACTGGGAGTTTTGGGAAGGTAGCAGCTGCAAAGAGACAGCAGAGAGGCGTGTAAGACTGCAACTCTGTGTCCTGGTCTCAATTGTGATTTGTCATAATTTAGGTTGTAAAAGAAACTCGTCCATAGTTCTAGATATTAGAGCCGCACCATCCAAAGTGGGATGGATGCCATCTCTGCTAATCAGACCAGTTTTTCCCCAAAATGTTCTCCAGTTGTCTATGAAGTCCACATTGTTTTCTGGACACCACCTAGACAGCCAGCGGTTGAATGAAGGCATGCGGCTAAACATGTCATCACTGGTCAGATTGGGCAGGGGTCCAGAGTCCGACTCAACATTCATTTTCGTGACCTCCAGCTGGCAAAGTTGGGAGTCATTAGCGCCAACATGAATAATAATCGTACATGTATTTACGTTTATCCTTAGTCAGCAGCTTCAAATAGGATTCGATGTCGCCTGCTCTGGCCCCAGGAAAACATTTAAGTGTGGCTGCTGATGTCTCAGGCTTGACATTTCTGACTATGGAGTTGCCAATTACCAGAGTTGTTTTCTCAGTGGGTGTGTTGCTGAGTGGGGAAAATAACTTTGAAACAGGCAGGTGATGCACTCTTGCTATGACTCTTGCAAACTGTCACCCAGCCACCTGGGCTGGGAGGCCCCTCAATATTTTCTGCAGGTGCCACTGCTGTGAAAAAGCACACACACAAATAGGTGGTACTGAAAAGTAATGTCATAATAATAAAAACAAAAAAGACACTGTTTTTAATGTTATTTCAAACTAAATCAAAGTTCACAATTTATATATGGCGATGTAGGACATACAGTACTGAATATCAGTTGTTCACAAAAACATTAAATTTACAATACTAAACAGACTTCTACTTCTCTGTTGCAGCAGACCTCACCCAGATGTCAGAGCCCAGAATAAAGTCCCTTTGACCACAAAAAATTTGTTTTTTCACAGTTAGTGATCTAATCTTATGTTACTGTGTTGTATTTTTGTGCTCTTGCCAGGTTGGTATACTACTGTTGGAGAATGCCCAGCTGGCATTACAGTCTCACAGCATGAAGTGCAAAGCTGCTGCCATCCAGGCCAGGTCAGCTGGATTTGACTGTAGTTTTCCTGAAAGCTCTAACGCTCTGCTCCCTCAGTCAATACAGGCCTTGCTGATGAGTATATTAGGTCTGAGATCACATCCAATAAACATGCACTCATTTATACATTTATGTCCAGAGGGATCAGATACAAATTTCTTAACTTTAATTGTAACAGTAAGCAGGAGAAAATGTGGGGTTGTCATCACTGGCCCATAAAACATCTCAATAAGTAGAGCTGAACTATAGAATAGCTGTCAAAGGCTTCCTGTTTTCATCCTGCTGCAATACTTTTCCAGTTCTCTGTTATCTAACTCAGGCCAGTTCCTGCTCTTGTGAGCCAACCTGCATACAAATTCAGGCGGGGCTTTGTGCCATGTAGGCACATATATGTTGATGCAGAGTAATGCCAACCCCACCTCCCTCACCACACACCCATTACTCCTGCACTGTCAGTCATTAATCCCTGAAGGACAGTTGCAACACAGAGAAGCCTGCAATAAACACACTTGTTCTAGTTATAGCTCTACCTGATCAGTCTCCTGACTGAGTTTCTGGACTGTATTTGTGATGTTGAGGTCTTTTACAGTATGTGCTTTTTACTTGTAGTGTAGTTATGATTTCTGAAACACAGATTCTAATGTGAATAAGAATAAATAATTAACTCCATCCAGAACTGGAACCTTCACTTGGTGAAGGATTTGTGTGTATCAGTGTCCCTCAGACTTTTCAGGCAAACACCAGGGGTCAGATGTATGAATGATGAGTACACACAAAAAACCATGCGTAAGCCTTCTCCCACACATAAAATGGAATCTATAAACACAGAATGTGCACACCTCGGGCATACTTTAGACCATGCGTACACACAATTTGAGTAGGTGTGATATGGTGAAGTGGAAATTAAAAATAAGAAGAGACAGCCAGTTTTAAACAGCTTGCATTATTTTTAGATGTTTGCATATATTTAAGTTCATCAAGTTGATTTTGAAAAAACATTGCATTTATCTTGGCTTTTATGAAGTTTGTTCTCATTTCTTTTGCCTTTTATGCACAGTATAGTG